TCCATCTCCTCCTGCGTAGAGAAGACGACAAAACAATCATCTACATATCTGCAGTAGAGTAGTGGCCGGAGATCGAGAATCTTCGAGTCGAGTAGCGTTGTATTGTATTGTGTTTTTATGGAAGTAAATGTATGCTGTTTAAAAACCTCGCGATTGCTGAACAAGAAAACGACACATTCATATTCCAATGCCGAGGTTAAGAGAAAGTCGATCTTGGGAACTCTCCAAGATATTTGTTTTTCGACAACTGACAAAAATCTTCCGACACCTGGAGCATTTGGAACCGGATAGATTGTCAAACTTGTAGAAGACATGTTGCTTTTTTGCTTTAATGGCATGCGGTTTATTCAATTTCTTTGCTATTTAAAGCATCACCGGAAAAAAAGAAAAAAGAAGAAAATAGTTCAATTTGCAAATTTTGGAGAATCGAAGTCTTTTGTTGCCAAAATTAAAAGGTTGTGCCTTACCAGCACAGACCTTTAGGTTACAAAGCATTTCTGTCTCAATCAATAAATTTCACGGCACGCTGAGATAACCGTGCTTAAAGACAAGGGCCAAATCGACCATGTGTGCGTCAGATAAAACTCGTATCGCCCACAATGTGCTGATTACCGCGTGAACCACTGCTCACATTTGCGCAGCATTTATAAATAGATTGCACCCCATTATAATGGAACGGCTAAGCAAATTTTAATGAATTTCCCATTCTTTAAAACTGAAAAGGCCTTTAATCCACTAGGGATAAGAGATTATTAAGAAATTGGTGTGACAAATCCAAAACCACCAAAAAGGCCATAAGAAAGAAGAAATGATGAAGCATACCATGTTGATCAATTCCCTAAAGGATCACCATGAATTCTACTTCAAACAGCGTTAATGGTGAATGAATGCATATCTAGCCCATACGAATGGCCTATATAATAAATTTCAGTGGCCTAGCGGTGTGTCGAGTCAATGCTCTTGCTCTCCAGACAAGTCTGGCACCAAATTGCTGACTCCAGAGGAATCGAAAGCTCTGTGAGCCCAGAACACGCGATCAGACCAAAGATCACGTGGGTATTGTAATGGACCTCTAACCACTGCTCTGCACTCACTGAAGATATCAGGAATAAGTTCTGCAGAAAGAAATTGGACTAATGCACAGGTTCCACTACCTAGCCTTATCCTAACAGTTATTGTCACTCTTATTTTTGACACAGGGTTCAGTTTCTCTTTGTTTTATTTCAATAATACGAGCTGTTAAGTGGAAGCTCAGATAAGAACGCTCACAATCTACAATTGAACAGTTTATTTAAAGTCTCCTTAAGAAAGATCAAATGAGATAATCTACCACAATGATGTTAATGAGATAATTGTAAAATTCCGGTCGTTTCTGTTTGTTGAGCGTCTCAGGTGAAAAACTGCGGTATGCAGTAAATAGAAAGTTAACCCTCCCAACGGTTTACTGCCTCATCGTGGCTGGGAAGTATTCCTGGGTGTCAGACTACGATGTACAGCGAGGGGATTCGTCTACCGTCAGAGTCTCCCAAGCTGAAAAGGAGTCCGGCGTTTCCATCAGGAAGCCTAGCTAAGAGTAAACCAATACCGGGATCCACCATCGTCTTGGTATCAAAGTCGCACGGTGGTAAATCTCCCTCTGGTCCACAAGGGCTGAGACTGCTCGTCGTAGTGACGACCTGGGACAGACTAGAGGCCAGGCTGTCCTCGAGATTCCAGGGAACCACAATGGCTTAGCCAGCAAATCTCCGAAAATGGTGATTATGCTGGGGCCCGCACAACTAGTGAGGACGGGCTGTTCAAATATCAAGTAAGAAAGCTAACATTAAAATAAGCGCGCGTAGCGCAGCCGGTGGAGGCGTTCTGCAATACGCATGAGATCGATCGCTGCACTCTAGGCTCACCAAGCCTTCTTCATTTTGGAGTGGACAAATTGGTAGTACCAGGCTTGTCTGGAAAGATGGAAGTACTGGCTCGATATATCGGTAGGTCACCGCAAATCATTGTAAAGACTGGACATGCATTCAATCACCTTCAACGATGGTAAGTGAATTTGCATGCACAAAGCAAGTTTAATTACCCAAGTTTTAGAAAGCCTGAGCAAAGGATTCGTCACCGAAAGCACACCTTCCTCTGATCTACATCGTAGTGGAGACCTGGCTACGCCCTTGCATGGTTACGTCAGAACTCCAGGAAAGACCAAGTTGCACGACCAGCAATAGGCCAGCCTCAGCACCCCGCACACTGCGTGCTTTCGTCTATTATGTCAGGCGGTGAGACGACCGGTGAGAGGCCAGAAAATCTCGAGTTACGCAAGACGTTATTGGAACCGGATCTGACGAACACACGCACGGCACGCCATGGAGGTTGCTTCTTACTATGCACGCATAATGCCAGAACACTCTCCACAGACGCCGATCTTCACGCCCTTCTTGTAGCCGCAGATCGAATTAAATTTCATGTGATCGCATTACAAGAAACAAAAATCAAGAAGACCGACATATGCCAACTAAACAACGGGATCCTTGCAATCCGCGGAGAAAAGCTCCCGTCACGAAATGTCGGTGGCGTAGGCTTTGTCATCCACCCGTCCATTGACCATCTCGCCGACTCATACGAGATCCTTTTCCCTCACATAGCTGTTCTCCATCTTCAACTGTCGCATTATAAGAAGATCACTATCATCAACCGCTACTCACCGACCGACGCAGCTGATGAGCACGAATTAATTGCGTTCTACTATCAGTTGGAGGAAGTCATCCGCAATGATAAACCATATCATAAATTTGTTGTTGGAGACTTCAACGCCGGAATAGGAAAGGCCAACGAGAACGAATAGAGGATCGGAAGTTTTAGATTAGGAGAAAGAAATGAGAATGGGAACCGTTTCGCAAAACTCTCCTTCTCCTCCTCCTCCTCTCCGTCTCTCGCAGCACGTCTCTTCTATAGAAACTCGTTTTTCCAGAAGAAAGAAAGCCGCCGCTGGACATGGGAGTCTCCCAACGGCATGACTCATGCGGTGATCGATCATATTCTGACAAACAAAAGATGGTGCCTACTTGACGCATCGGTAGTCCCGCCATTCTGTGCTGGTTCCGATCACCGCCTTCTTCGCACGAAGATTTGATTCAGCCGCAAGCTGGAGAAGAACTCTTTTCATCGAGCACGAAGAAAAAGTCTAGCTGTATGCGACGAGAACATTCTGAACGAAGTCCTGTTTCAGCGTGACTGGCAGATTAAAGAACACCTGACTGTAGACTATGAGCTGCTTGTCGAAGGACTGAAAAGTTGTGCCGAGTTAGCTTCAGTTCCTCAAGCAAGAAGATCGGATCACATCGCCATCACTACTAAGGAGTTGCTCGAAAAGAGAAGGAAAATGAAGCTTGATCATATTGCAGCACGTTTAAAATGGCTAGTAATAAATGCCAGCCGCAGAAGAGCTTTGCAGGGAGATCTACAATGGTACAAGCAGAAGGAAATACTGGAAGCAGCAAAGAAAAGAAGCAGTCTAAAAAAAATGCCGTCGGGACTTGCGTGATTTTAATGTTCCGCTGTCAGCCATGATAAACGAAGATGGGATCGTCAAAACTTCTCGCCATAATATGGAATTAATAACGGAGACGTTCTACACCAACCTTTTCCGTTCCACAATCCTCGTCCCGGGCTCTAATACCCAAGCGGAAGGAAAACCACCTGGAATTCTTCAGTCGAAGGTTCGAGTTGTGATAGAAAGCGTGAAAAGAGGCACAACTCCAGGAGCCGATAATATCACTGCCGATGTCCTTAGAACTGGAGGCCACAATTTACATCTACTTCTCGCAGATCATATGAGAGGCTACCCTCAAAAGGAAAAAATCCCAGACCAGCGGAGGGCGTCGCGCACGGTCATCCTGTCCAAGAAAAGAGACCGAAGAGATCTTCGTAACTATTGTTCCATATGATTAAAGTGTACTCTACAAGCTCTTCACGAAGATTATCCTCTCGCGCATATCAAGGAGCTCGTGAAGACGGACCGTCCATGTATCCAAGTAAGTAAGGGCATCTCTCAGAGATTAATCAACGCCAAGAGTTTAACCTTTATCCTTCAGATAATCTCTCTTCATTACGCTAATGGCTCCTTTTAATAACTGAACATTTAATAAGTATATAATTTTACGCCATATGGAGCTGTTCGGAGCACAAGCTTCACCGAGAAAAGTTAAAAAAAATCATACTTTGCAGCTGCTTCGAACTCCTTCCTTGCCATCTCTTCGGCCGATTTGTTAGAAATTGATGGATATTGTTGACGAACAAGGCGTATTGACTCCATTTTATATACCTAAAAGCAACGTTGCCTCTGTAAACGTAGAATACTATCGACGTTTTTTTTCTTTTTCCGCATCTTTCTTAATGTTCTCCCTTCCACATTTATTCGCTCCTAGCTTTCCATAGAAATCTGAACCAAAATGTGAGCCATTACCATCCATCAGGCGGCATTATTTCACAGAAACATCATCCTTCGTGCTGTTGATGATTTTCATTGAGCTTTTTCTTCATATCTTATTGCTTTAACCACATGTTGAATGCTGCTGTAAGATGTGTAAACAGTTTCCGTTATGATATTTCACAGTTTTCGCCGTGAAGGCCCACTTTCTCATAGCAATGGCTGCCAGGAATCTAACTAGTACCGATCCTAAAATCGAATCCGTTGTCGAAACCAAAGTGTCTTGTTCACTCTAGACATAAGAACTGCTAAAGAAGTTGCTGTACATATCCTCCCTTCTAGGATCTCGATTGTAGCGGGCATCGTTGGAATCTCTTAAAGTTCAAACACTATTCCACCCAGACCTGACTACATTATCCTTTAATTCCACTTTAAGGTCAACCGGAAAGAATTAAGAAGAGAAATCCATAACTGTTAATCCGCACCACTTTTCAGACTTGTCGTCTTCTAGGGACACACTTCGTCGACAAACCTCACTTTTTTGATGTTTAGTTGAGCCTCACAATTTTTTACGACAGTGCTCCCATTAGAACGATGCTGAGCCATTCGCAAAACTTCGACCTAGGGTCAGATTGAACCAAGGTAATCCTGTTCGGGAGCTCGTGCAGTACGTAATGCCGTGAGAATTGTAGCAGGCAGTCAATATAAAAAAGTAAAACAACGCTCCCATTACCTTTGCAAAAATTAGGTTCCTTGTGACCCATAGTTAGTAAGGATTGGCATGAATGGAATAAGAAGTATATAATTAGATAAAGGTACCTCTACTTACTTACTTACTTGGATACTTGGATGGCCCGTCCACATTGCTTGTGCGGGCTCCAGCATAATCTCCATTTTTTCGGAGTTTCACTGGTTTAACCATTTTGGTTCCCTGGAGTCCCGAGGTCAGCCAGATCAAAATCTGCCCCAGGTCGTCACCACCAGAAGCGGCCGCCGCCTTTGTGGATCAGAGGGGGAATTGTAACCATATGACTAGTTTTATAACAGGATGGTGGCGATTTATTGCAATGGTTTACTCCTAGCTGGGTCTTCTGATTAAAACTTCGGACTCTTTCTCAGCATGGGAGACCCTCCCAGAAGGATAAACCATCCCAGTACATTGCAGCACGACATCCAGAAACACCACCCAACCATGATGAGGCGGTAAACCATTGGGTGGATCTCTATTTATGTAAAAACGTTATATATTGGTTAATAATGTCAAAAAGAAAAAACCCACAGATTTTTTACCCCAGTTGAGCTTATATAACGGTCGCCATTCTTCGAAATCAATGACTGCGATTCCGCTGAAATCCTCACGGGGAATCGCCGCGCGGATTTGCTCCGATACTCGAGCGAGGTGCTTGTCAATAGAACAGTTCTAAAGTAAAAAATGTGATATAGTAACGGAACAATTCGTCTACCACTCTCTGCTAATGAACATCATTTCCCTAGGGCATGGCGCTGAAAATAGAGGTCCTCTGCAATGCATACATGATCTTTGGTTCGATTTAGGGGCTCCTGGTTGTCATGCCATCCATAACATCAGGGTCAGGAAATTGTAGGGTAAAAACGTAGATCTCATATTATGCACTGATGAGCCACTGAAAGTCATTTTGTAGGCTACACGTGCAACCAATCATCTCTACGATGCTACGAATGCAGCCGAATGCAATGCAGCCATGGCACACTCTTGGAAGACTTATCAACACTGGAGGCTTTATCGCTCTAATCGGTATTATTTTCCTATACAATGCACAAATTTGCTGCCAAAATTCCGCCTGTTATCGGTCGTTGGAAGCTGGTTCACTGGGTGACACACCGGCTCCCTCAAGCCACTGTTTCGACGTGGGGAGGAGGTCGGTATGCCGATCGTGTAGATAATAAACACCTTCCAATTTCCAGTTACAACATCAGTTTAAAAAATTGTAAATGTTTTTCCACCTAAATCTTTGAGAAAACATTGGTCATGAAGAAACCCTGGTTTACAAGTGAGGACGGACACTGCTTCGACGCTCTGTATTGTTACAATGTCGTTTTTTAACGACCTTCATTTTAATAACTCAAAAGACCGACTTTCTATGAACCTCGGCATAAATAGTTGATATATCTATATCTATAATCTTATAAACTGATCTTCTTTAGCTGACACGAGGTTGGTAAAATTTTTCGATCTCGCTGTTGTTGTTGCTGTCGTTGTCGTTGTCGTTGCTGTTGTTATTGTTGTTGTTGCTGGTGCTGGTCGATGATGACTGACGTTTCGGCGATTTCGCCTTCCTCAGAGCCCTGCTATTATGAGCGGGACTGTTTGTGCCGAGTTCAACACCTAACAGCACGGCACTGAGTAAGGCGAAATCGCCGAAACGTCAACCATCGACTAAGAACACCAACAACGACAACGAAAACCTATATCAACCTCGCATCAGCTAGCTCAACAAGAACACTTTGTTAGACCATCATTTTATTAAATCGTTTAGCAATTAGCGCCAAAACTCTGAGAATCCGAATTAAAAATGGACTAAACTAGACACGACAGCTGTTTACTCATCTTAACTCTTCATTTTCAGTTCGGACTGAAGATTCCAGTTAGACCAATTAGTTTAAGATCAATGAAGAAAACTTTAATAGTAGAAATTTTCAAAGTTAAAGAAAAATGCTTATCTTACCTGTGGTAAGCCACCATTCACCGGCTCATTGACGTCACCATTATTAAAGTATGGAAAATACCCGAAGTCATACTCGTAAAATATAACGATTTGATCGCCTAAGAACTCATGACCTTAAAATAAACACATTCATACAAACAGTAAACCATTGTCTGTTATTACACAGCATCGTTTCTTCATTTTACCGAAAAGAAGAAAAGAAAAAAAGGCGCAGTGTGGGGCAGTGGTCGGAGGCGCCCTGCAACACACACGTGGAATCGATCCCCGTGCCCATGGTCCACCAAGCCTTCCTTCCTTCTGGGGTCGGCAAATTGGTACCAGACTTGTCCGGAAGGATAGCAGTACTGGCTCGATTCATCGGTAGACCACCGCGAGTCATTGTAAAGGCCAGATATACATCCAATCACCTCCAAAGATGCTTAATAAAGTCGAATGCATGGGGCGTCCCTGTTGATCAACGTCGAGAGCTCTATCCTTTTTACCAAAAAAAATAGGAAAATAGGGTTAGAAGATCGTAAAGCCGATAGGAGTTGAGGGATTTCTATACCAACTTTTAGATTAGTGAAAGAAAACTTTCCCAATGCTAACGGAAAGAAAGGTCTTAAGCGCCAATGATTTTAACTTTGACACGAAATATACTAATAGTTTTTCGGATCGCGCATTAATAAAAATCAATTCTTCTGTTTCTTTAAAGCTTTTCTTATATTCTACTGCCCTTCAAACAAAACAATCACTGGTCAAACTCTATGTTATATTTATATTTCATGATATATATATGGGAAACATTGTAATGAAAAACATGCGCATTGATCGAAAGGTCAGCTCCTCGATGATCGTATACGATTAAAATTGCTAGAGAAAGTTATTTGGGCAGAAATAACAAAACAAGTCAGCTTAATTGCAATACAGCTTGTGGCGACGTCACACTGTGATCGTTGTGGAAGCCTCATAGGAAAAAGTGTTAACGTTCGTTGAAATCAATATTAACACGAGATAACTACCTTTTTCTATTTTACGTGACCCACGTCATATCTGCTGTGAGCGCTCTAGTATTTCTTGCGTTCGCTTCATTTCCTCACACTCATCACTACGAAAGTCCTTCAACTTTTTACATGTGGGCTCAGCCGCTGCCTATTTAAGCTACCTTCGTTGTGAAGCTCGTTTAATGCTGGTCGAGTCGATTCTTTCTAAAGTTCTGGTATAGCCGGGCTAGAGCGTTTCCACTAGGATTGTATAGAGTGAGTTAAGCTCAAAAAAGTTTTTCAACAATTCCCTTATTCTGGTGGGATGAGAGACTGACAAGCCCAACGCGGGTCAAAGCGGCATCAGGGTCGTGATGAGCAACATCACTACCATAGTCCCATTTGCCCGTAATTAACAATTAGAACAAAACATCATAAAAACAAAAAATTGAACTATTGACTCTTCGTTCCATGACAAAGAGATCACTCACCAATATTATGCTTTATACCAAATTGTTGCAATGGAATTTCGACTTCTCGGTCATAACAAACTTTAGATGGGACATTCCAGTACACCTGAAAATTTAATTTTCATTCATGTGGTTATTTTTAGCGTCTTTTATAAACTAACCAATAATACATAACGCTTATTCTTTAAAAAATTTTCATTTAAATATTTTATTAAGAATTGAGTAATATTAATACCATTGACCCCCCAACGGTTTACCGCTCTCATCGTGACTGGGAGGTGTTTCTGAGCGTCGGGCTGGGATATACAGCGGGATACTCATCCCCGGCAGGATTTCCCAAGCTGAGAAGGAGTCCGTATTGCAGGTCATCTCTAACAACTGACTTGCACAAATGAAAATGCTAAATAGTTTAAAAAATAGTTCAGCATCAATTTTAGTATTTTAATTTAAAGTTTAGCATCGACTATTCACGTAATCTTCAAGAGGTTACATGATTCCATAAAACCCGACGATTACTGTGATACAGAACTTCAATAATGCTGAGATATTTCCAAAATTCGGACTCTAGTTCAGCTTCGAAACCTCGACTACCTACGTTTTCCGGGGCAACATGTCCACTACACCATCGAGGCCCTCGCTTGCCTTTCTCTAAGCCCGTTTGTTACCCTAACGATACGGAGCACAAATCGACATTGAAGCCACTTAAGCTGCAGCCGAAGACTAGATCACAATGTTTGACGTTTATTTATTCTTTTAATGGGTGGTTGCTGACAGGACCGTAAGGGTAAGAAACAGGCCGAGAGAGGCAAAGCAAGGGTCTCGGTGGCGCATCGGATAACACATAAGCCCCGGGAAGAACATTCCTGGTTTGAAGCGCGCGTGAAGTTTCCAGTTTTGCCAAATATCAACAACATTATGGTTGTCTTTCACAAAATACCCTGCCATGAAACGAAATAATAGGCAGTAAATAAAAGTTGCGGACTGTGATATTTATTTGATGTAAAGAGAGTTAACGTCGAGCATTTTGAGATCATCAACGTTCCCGATCCAGGAGAATGTTCCTCTTAAAAATTTACCAAATTATCTTGAAGGAAAGGTTTCGTTGTAAGCAAAATATTTAAGCCATCATACAGCTATCTTTGGCACCATCCATGATTAGGATTTCTAGAATTCTTTATAGATACTTCTGACAATATGATCACCTATTTTTCTGGAGACTAGTCCTTTAAACAACTTCTCATTTTTGCTCCTTACTAAATATATCCATTACTGGTACATTGTTTGACAGAGCAAAATATGTCAGACAAAGCTTAACGTTGTCGACCAATAGAATGCCATTTGCATGGTTTCCTCTTGAAAAAATCGCTATTAAATATCTATTTCGGTTAGTGCTAACTCAAAGTGATAGTGCAAGTGCAGCTTGGATAGCCGTCGAATGCATAAAGGGGTCAGATCGGGCCTCAGAAGTGATTTCGTGCTTTAGCGAGGTGTGTCTCGTTCTTATGGAAGGTGACGAAGAAGAATTGAACAATATATTGAGCAGGTATTTATTTTCACTTACGCTTAAGGCTCTAAAGCCGAACTTACCGGGAAACTGTCCAGTTGAGAGAGAACTGAATCGAAAAGAATTACAAAAACTGTGAGTGCGGTTAGCATTGTAGATTATTTCTAGTCGTCTAATCAAATTCGTACATAAACTGAAAAAGAAAAATGAATAAAACAATGAAGACAGTAGGAAATTTTCAAAGATCTAACGAAGATTGTCAAAATGAGGAGCGACGGCGAAACTGATCGAGAGGCAAATTCGTAGAAGCATTTGACAAGGTTACTAAGAACAATAAACAACATGGAAAAAATACATATCGACTTCCTGCGAAACATAGGAACGAATAAAAACTCTGAATAGTGAATGTCTGCTGAAAACCCGGCCCATCTAGCCGTGGAATCAAATTGGAGTGAATAGGAAAGACGCGGCCACAACAAGGGAGGAATAAGTCGATTAGAAAAAGGCCACAAGTAGCCGAAATTTCCGCTACAGGATCTCCTCGTAGAAAAATAATTGACGTATGAAACATCTCAAAAGAATGACTTTGTACAAGCCGCGTCGTATTAATCAATCCATACACATTTTTAAATCTATTTTTTATTATGTTATTACTATTATATTATTATATTATTTATTATTGGACACTTGTCACCACTACAGGTTGTCGCCGCCCTTGTGGATCAAAGGGAGATTTCCCACCATGAGACTAGTTTGATACTAGAACAGTTGCGGATCCTGGTATTGGGTTACTCTTAGCTAGACTTCCTGATGGAAACGCCAGACTCCTTCTCAGCTTGGAAGACCTTACCGGGGGTGTGAATTGAAGCCCCTCGCTGTACATCGCAGTCCGACACGCAGGAACACGTCCCAGCCACGATGGGGCGGTAAATCGTTGCGAGCATTAATTATTATATATTATATTTTATATATATTTGCATACATATACGCAATTTTGAAAAACAGCTATCGTTCCGTCGCACCACCTGTGTGTTGTTCACGAGCGATAATGAATGGGACCCACGCATGGGGATGTGCATCAAAAATTCTGAGATAAGGTGCCATAATCACGTGTGACAGTGATGCATTTGCCTTTCCGGTTTATTTTTGGAGTTTTGAAACTTATTCAGAACGCCTCAAGCGTCTTGCGCGCTGATGCTACAGAATCCTTCGCTAGGATCCAGCGATTCACTTCAAAATCATCACCACTGTGCTTTCACATTGCAGTGAATGTCCGGATCTTAGCGCATGAATCTAAAACATCAACAATGATTAACAATGATATTGATATGCGATTTTATTAGATCTAATGCCAAAATAACCTTACAACGAAAATTCGAAAACCTTTTGGGTAATTCACACGTCTCCCAATGCCGAGGTTAAGAGAAAGTCGATCTTGGGAACTATTAACAATGATGTTTTAAATTCTTGCGCTAGGATCCGGACATTCACTGCAATGTGAAAGCACAGTGGTGATGATTTTGAAGTGAATCGCTGGATCCTAGCGAAGGAATCTGTAGCAACAGCGTGCAAAACGCGTGAAACGTTTTGGACGAATTTCAAAAGTCCAAAGATGAACCGGAAGGACGAATGCATCACTGTCACACCTAATACGGCACCTTATCTCAGAATGATTTTCTGATGCACAACCCCATGGGCGGGTTCCACTCATCATCCCTCGTAAACAACACACGGGCAGTCCAACGGCACGGTGGGTGGTTTTTGAAAATTCTACCGCCTGCCTCATCACAGCCAGGTGGGATGCTCTGGCTTTCAGCTGAGATGTACTGCGTAAGGTCCCTCCTCTATCAAGGTCTGCAAAGCCTAAAAGAATTCGGTATTCTCATTTAGAAGCCCAACTAGGAGAAAACTCACTCTACAACAAAGTTCAGTAAGTCCGGCGGCTTCCACCAAAGCATAGCAGAAGTAATGCAACTCATGGAAGAACTGCGAAGGCCCTTGGTGTCGCGCTTGAGTGGGAGCAGTTCAGAGGAGGGAGAGCGGAGGGTCAGGCAGCTCTAGCGTGCAACAAGGACAAACCGCAATTTTACTGGTAACCGCTTGTGTTACTCGAGGAGTTTTGGGATTAGGGCTGCGATAAATGGAATAAGCAGCGAACTCGAAACATTCTGTTACAAAGTCCTTCAAAACTATAGAATGGAAAATTATTGTACAAACAGACTGTTTGAGAGAAAAACCGATAGAATGACACGAGAACCCTACTAACGTCTGCATTCTAAGCTTCAAAACGCGAATAAAGATAGTTTTTCCAGGAAACGATAGAGAGAATTGCATAGAAATTTTAGTTCTCGAATAGGTCGAATACACAGTGGACGAGTTTTCACGAAGCAGCGATTTTGTTGAGGTGACAGCTTTTGATTGGAATTTTGGTCAAATTCTAATTTTAATAACTCCTACGTCCGACTTTCTATTAACCTCAGCATTGATTGAACAATTCTTTCCACTTCTGCTCAGCAAACACGAGGTGCTATTCCACTTCCCCACTCACCTAAAAGCTGACGTTTCGGCAAATTTCGCCTTCCTCAGAACCTGGAAAGGTCACGTTGGCAGCAACCTATTCGGCCAAACACCTTGACAACTAAACAGAGCAAACGCTAAACCAAGATTCCAATCACATTGAACGGAGCTCCGCACACTCACCGCTTTCTATGAGTCTTCCACTGAGTATGTCGTGTGAAGACCAGCCGCACAGAACTCACATGGAAGCGTAATGTGCTCCTCCCATCGCAATAACAGGTTTATGTACAGCCCTATATCACGCGTGATAATGAGGCTTTCTTCCCTGCGGTTCTTTATTTTCGCATTTCTGGAATTAATCCAGAACGCCTCGAGAGTATTGCGCACTTGTGTTCTTGATTCCTGCGCGAGGATCGTGACACGTACTTCAAAGTCCAAAGTCTATTTTTAATGAAATTGCCCCAAAAATATGACTTGTATTTGCTACAACTAAATAATCGTGACATATCATGACAATTTGGGACTTTTAAATGGTGACAACTTCTCGAACACTCAAAAGTAGAAAAGAACAATAAGAAGAAACAAGGTATCCACAGTTAGTACTGCCCGGTTTTTTTTTCGAATATTTACAACTTTCCCGGATGGGAACCAGAGGTTCAAACGCAGGCGGAGCACGTTTATTGGTGGCTGAACTACAAGGGGTAAACCACCAATATTCACTAGGAACCTTCAGAGATAAGTGGATTCAGAAGAAATAAACTTTAAATCATCTCATTATTCTACGGCTTTGAACATCAATGACGTTACCGTACCCAAGAGTTATATGTTTAGGATTGAAAATCAGGTTTAAGTGTATAATGCTGAGATATTTGCAAAACTCCGGACCGTAGGTGTCTGCGGTGGGAAACGAACGCGCTATTGTCCTTTCTGGGGAGAAACGCGTTCTCCACCACACCATGCTGTTCCTACGTTTCGCCTGTCTATCCGCTAGTTCTATCGATTTTTTGCTATCAGCAATCATCCGTCAGCGGAATTGATCTGGGAGCCCAAATCGGAGTTTTGCAAATATCTCAGCATTATACAAGTTATATTTCGCAACATACTCTGCCATTAAAAAGAAAAGGCAGTAAATTGGTTGATAATGATATTTAAGCTCGCTTGCCCTCGTGTAAGGTCATCAAAGAAAGAATACATATTGATTAGTGATACCGAGGTTCAAGGAAAGTTGGTTTCGAAAAAGGTTAAGATCAGGTTTAGGCTCAAAATTAAGCGTAATCCGCAGCTAGCTTTGATGCTAACAACAACATTAGTTTTTGAAAACCTGAAGTTTTCGAGTAAAGCGGTAAATAGGGTAGAACCAGCACGGGTGTTACCTCCACTACCATTAAACTACCTCGGGTTCACGGGTAGTAAAGAGTTGATAGAACCTCCATTTTAACCAAAGTCTGCAGAATAGAAATGTGCAGAGCGGTGGACGAGTCGTCTTCTAGATGTGCTTTTCCTACAACGAGAAATATCGTTCTTAGAGATACAACGTAATCGACAGCACATTAATTACGATGATATAGTGAGTACAACTAGTGGACGAGTTTTCGCGAGTGCGGTTTTTTTTCTCGCGGCATTCGTTGTAAATTTCGAAATTCAGCATAGATAACTTTGAATAAAGAATATGTACAAAAATATAACGATGCACTAAAATTTTTCAAAAGCAAAAAATTCAACTGGAAACTTCTCAAAGCTACGAACTGAGAACAAAAGGAGAGGTGGAGGAGCTCATGCTATCGATACGTATCGATTTGTTAAAAACGACGGACTGAAAAGAATATTGGGCCAAAACGGTGCAAATAAATGAATTTGAAGGAAAAAGTGATTAAGGAAAGAAATCGATTTGCTCTTGATGTGCTCCACATTAAGGCAAGAACAATTCCACTAGAGAACCTTTAACAACGTCAAAATTTTGAGGAAAGGTGAAGGAAAGAAATGAATGGTAGATGTGCTAAGGTCCGCACACCTCGTGTAGCCGGACCGACCAAGTATTCAAGTAAGTAAGTAAAATCTTGAGATGATTACATAACAATGAATTACTTAAAATGGAACAAAAAAAGGCTGGACAAGTGCAGAAATTTGACAGATGGCGAGAGAACAGACCAAGAGACCACGCCGAGATAGAGTGGCATGTCGGAGACGCAGCCGCTTTGCGTTTCTGACCGAATGTGATCTACTGTGGCGGCAAAAGTTGAATACGTGGTCGACCTTCACACACCTATCTGGTCTTCTCATGAAGGATAAGAAGTTCGACGTTAACCCATCGTCAAAAGTTGTACAGTGCATTCGACTCCTGAACAATAATTTGCGGCGGCCTATCCGTGTATCAGGGCAGCGTTTTTACCCTTCTATACTGTTGCGGTACTAATTTTCTGACCACTGCGGATTTGAAGGCTGGGCCACCCCTTTGTGCAGAATAGAACCAGCGATCGTGTGTTTATTTCAGAGCATCTTTAACCACTATGCTAAGTGCTCGAACTAATGGAATGTTCATTGATCAATATTTTTGCACAAAAGCGTGCTCGTCAATCATTCTAACAAAAACAACCAAAATGTTTGTTCTTAAACAAAGGAAAGAATCGATGATATC